CAGGGCTCCAGGGAGTCGAGGATCGGTTTGATGTCGGTGCGCGACGGGTGCCGCGTGCGCACATCTTTGAGCTGCTCTTCCAGCGTGCGAGCGGTGGTGTTCAGCACGGTCCGATGGATTTCTCTGGCTTCGCCGGAGATGGAACTCGGGTTCACTAGGGAATGTAGCGCCTTTAAAGGTATTGAGGGGTCGAGTTCCGTCTCCCAGATATGGTTCCCCAACCACGTCAGCGCGAAGATGAGAGACGGCAAGAGAAAGGGCTCAAGCAGATCTACTCATGTCAGTATCTGTCCAGTAGCCCAGACCAATACAACATACATTCAAAGCCCCCTTTCAAAGTATCAAACTCGAGCTTTCCGGTCTCACATGCCTCCAGGCTCTGGCTGAATAGTGTAGCCACGAGCAGATAGAACTCCTGCGGACTGCACGCCGACATGGTCTCCTCACTAATGCCTTCGGCGATGAACAGCGCCGCAATCCAGGAGCCCAGGTTCTTGTTCTGTTTCTCATCCAGAGCATCGAGTTTCTGGCTGCAGGATCCTCGCCCGAGCAGTCTCAGAACAAAGGAATCATTACTTGAGATCCCAAGATCGGCTGGTCGCAGATCAAACCGGTACTTGAAGGCCAGCACCAGCAGGAGAATACTTCCAAACTCGTCGTACACCGGTTGATTCTCGCCCTGATCCTCGTCCCAGTGCCACGAGTCCAGTAAAGCGCAGAGCGGCTGCAGAACCTGCTTTGGGTTTCGGAAAATCAAAACCACGTCCAGCGCCTGAGGCCGCCGAGACAGCGAATTGCAAATGTTCTTCAGTGTCATGGTCTCTTTTTGGCTGCAGAGATTATGCATGACCTGTATTCGTTAGCCGATACCGTGCCAATCAAATTCTGACCCAACGACAAACCTCTGTGATTGCCCCAATAATCGCTCCGGCATTTCCCTCCATAGACTCAATCTCGTTGATCAACTGCTCCGCACGTTCAGGATTGGCGTTGATCTGCGACACCAGTTCGTCCTTGTTATAGCCCACAGGAAGAGTCTGCATGGGATTCTCACCCAACAATCGTTCTATGCTGGATTCAGGTATCAGTTTGTGCGAGGCACAGGCAAATAAAAACTCCTGCCGCACGTCGGACAGGACCGTGTTGCCCTGCATTTCAAACATCTGTGAGAACGATGGGAAGGTGTTGGGGTCAAGCCGGCTCAAAGCATGACTGATGCACATTTCCATTGGGATGGAGACCATGGTCGACGCCAGCATGGCCGCAAAGAACGCGGGGAGCTTGTTGACCAAGAAGGAGCGGAAGACGAACATGGTCCGACTGGATTCATTACGATACATGCCGTTTGACAAGACGTCAAAAGCAGCGGTGAGGATTTCCTCAATGAGAGCCTCGTAGTGTCCCTAGTACGTGTCAGTCGGCTCTGTTCTACCAGCAGATCATTGCACCTACTCCGTATCGATTGGCAAGATAGTTGATCAGCATACCATCATCCACCAGGGGCCGGCCCACGAGCTAGAAGATCAGCTTTGTACAGCCAACGACCAAAATAGATACCTACCATTGCATTGATAAAGACGTAGAGACCTGCTCTCGAGTTGATGACCGGCCCATCCATGACGGACGCCTCAAATTGCAGAGCATTGACATTCATGTTTTCCATCATTGGAACATCCAAGGTCTTTGGCGCCCGTTCCCCGTACAAATTGAATTCCTTTTGGAGACCATCCAACCTGTTACGCAGAGGTAACGACACCTCAACGCAAAGGGGCAAATATGCCGAGAGCGCTTGCCCCAGCTTGACCTTTAACCCTGCAGCTTGTGAGATTAACCCAGGTCAATTCGGAAGCGGTAGAAAATACCTTCATGTGAATCGGCTGAAAGAACCTCTAATCCTTTCCCGGTTCCAGACAGAGCAGCGAGGAGAATGCCCAACGATTCGAACAGCGACACCACATCAGGCGAACTCATCATTCCACTTGGGTGTTGTCCGGGATCGAAATGACTGTTGTGCCACGAGACAACCGCATGGATCCAGTCAACAATAGAAAAGAAAATTGCGATAGCTTCTGCGTTAGTTTTGGGAGTACTCCCCGTTGATACAGAAAGCATGGCATCTTGGATGACCCGAATATCAGTCATCAAAGTATAGTATTTGGAACCGTCTTTGCCCTCTGACGTAGGCAGTTGCGGCTTATCATGTATAGACGAGTATTTCAAAAGGGAGGTCAGCACAGTAGACGTTCTGACCCTGCCCATTCGGCACAGGCAGTCTATGTAGAGCGGGAGTAGTGGATCCCACTTGATCCTGGACTCGGACCGAGTCTGGAGCAGTGCATCAAGCAATGCGTTTTCCGCAATCGGACATTTTTGGAACAGCAGTTTTGACAGATTTCTGAACTCGTTGGCATCGATTCGATGTATCAAACATTGATGGAAGAATGTCCCCCAATGGACGGGGGACGTCATATTCTGGGAAGGTTCGATCATCCTGGCTTAAATTCAAACATAGCAGACATGAGAGGATGACGTATAAATATGCATTTGATTATCCACGCTGGTTCGTGGGAGACATCTCGCCTGACTCCTCATTCAGGTCTGGAGTATGTGGTGGAAACTTGAGCGTCATTTGTTGTTTGGCTGGAAGGGCGAGTCACATGATAGTTGTCACATGACAGGAAGGTGAGATGGATCAAGCTAGAACAAATCAACAGAGCAGTGAGCATGAAGGTAATATCTCTGGTGGTTTAGATGAGGGTTCTCTTGTCTTTAGTAATCTATTGAAGAGCATAAAAATGGTAGTATTCTTCTAAAAGAAACCTGAATATTTTACAACTATATTTTGCAGCTATGAGGCGTCAGCACTTTAAGAGCCATGCACAATCAATGTTTAATACCGGCCAAGTCACGGATAACATATAGTGTTTTTAGCAGAGAATATCACCATTTAGATGATTGAGAAAAGTCATCTCATAACTCTAGATCCTCCCATTGGGGGAATTCCTCATATTGAGGCTAGCAAACCCACAAAGTCCACTGATATTCCACGGTCTGTAAGGTACCATAACGCACGTAAGGACCTCAAAACCATGTTATAATACTGGAAACATTTGCAGAATAGATCGGACCGACATGTATACAGAGTATTTGCATGTCAACCTGGAAGTAGAAGATGACCATAAACACTAATTATCGACAAACCAAACGATTGAACCCAGCGAAGAAACAAGATTGGCTCATCGCTCACGATCTAATAAAACCTCCGGACAAATAACATCTCAGATCAGCCAGATGCCTGGCACCGGGACTAATCTAGTCCTTTGATCCCCGCCCAATCATGCGCCGATAATGGACTTTGCTCTTTCAGTCCTGTAACTGAGTAACTGAGTAACTGACCTGCAATTGGAATTATCTAGAACTACGGAGTAGACTCAAATGTAAAGCCTATGATAGACTATGGTTGACTTGCAGGTCCCAACACGAGACGCGGCCCACATTCTCACGACGGAATAGGTAGGTTGTCAACAATGAAACAATCGGTGGTGATACCTGGGTCCGGAAATGGGGGTGCCTGTGTACTCGGCGTAATTTGCAAGTCATGCAACACAGTCTAGTTATTATCATGTCATGACACTGTGTATGCCATCTCCGAGGAGCTTGGAAAACGAAGGAAGATAATTCCAATAGCCGCGAACTTCATGTACAACGGTACAAGACGGGTGAAGCCTCAGGCGAATGGGGGCATCGCAATGTTTTACACGTACTCTGTACTTCGGCTTCGTGTTATCCTGTTTTCGGCCGAATAGAGTAGACGGGTAATTCTGTACACGGGTAATTTCTGCTTCTTACACCTGCAATTCTGACGAGTATTGCGTAAAGTTGCAGATAGTTTGCAAACCTCTAAGTTAACTTTGAGTGTGACTCAATACCACTACTGTATTTTAATCGTTAAAGCTACTGGACCCGCCATTCAGCTAGCCACTTATCTGTTGCTGTGCTATTAATATTATTGCAAACTCTCGTCTGGAAGACTCGAATACCCCTAACCATGGGAACAGTGAGATGGAGTTTCTAGGTTGCTAGACGCACGGTCCAACATATTGAATACCAGCACTCTGTAAAGATTGACCAATGCCAGAACATACCTACACGTTGAATTCTCTCAGGCACTGATAACTCAGGCTACATTCAAGCAGGTATCTGTAGTCAAAATTTCGACCGAAATCAAATTGGTAACCAGAAACCAGAGTGAATCTCGATAGCCCTACCACTACCAGAGTTCTGAGCCTTCTCCACAAGCAAACCAAGGAATTGACCGTCCCCTCGGTTGCGGGTGTCGTAATCGCCGGTCACCGAGACAAACCGGTGGGGTCTCAGGTCGAGGGGTAATTGATGGACAGGGCAGCCCTCGAAAATCTGCCCTGAAAACTTGAGCAATAGTTCCAGTGTCTGGTCCAGACACGTCCGCCCTAAAAGGTATGGCTCATGGGGTCTGGTCCGGAACACTCCCCGTGGACACAGCTTACCGCAGCCCTCGAACAATGAATTTATTCGGGCTGTAAGTATTGATTCAGGAGAAGTCCCTGTGCATTCTCCAAAGACTCATTCGGGCTGCATCTACACAATGACGAAGCATTACATAGTAGAAATATTTGGATAATCGGTTGCCTCGGTCGTTGGCGAGGGTGCCAATAGGGAACAAACCTAGACGCGGGAAGCCACCTCACATTCTCAATGTTATTTTCTTTTCAGACATCGGGAGTGTCCTTTCACAAGAATGATGGAATGACTGCAAGGTAGTGGAGATGAAGCACATCGGGTTTTCTGTCGCGCTCCAAAATAAATGTATGATCAGTGTGTATGATCATTGTCTCCTGGCGGGGTCCAACTTCACGCGATCGGACGAGTCTGTTGTGTATGATATAACACCTTTTGAAGGGTAATAAACTCGAAGAGGTAATTCGACGGGAACATAACATCGGACATTATCATCATCGAGGTTACCCTCCTGAGCTCCGAGGACGCGACATATGTGAACAGGAATCTCGGAGAGTGTCGGGAGCTCGGGGTCCAACCATCCAATCTTCCATTGCAAGCCACTCACTCCAACTTCTCTCCGCGGCCTCGATCTCGGAATCCAGCGGGCCTTGCAGGGGTCGCAGGAAGGGAATCGTCTCCAAAGGATTCATATCGTAATCTCTCTTAACGGCAGCCCAGCCGCCGCTCTTCGCAGCGAAGAGGTAGTTGCGACGTTCCTGTTCGTGGAGATATCCAACGCCTGCGGTCCAGTCATCGCCGAAGAATCCTTGAAGAACACCAGGGGAATCCATGCCCGTGGCTACTAGACGTCGAATATAGGGGATGAGTGACACAGAGACGGCTGGATGCGAGGAGGACTCGGAGGCAGAAGACGCCAGTTCTGCAGAAGGTGTTGATGCTTTGCTAGAAGAGCTGGAAACTGGGTGCGGCATCCGTTGGAAGGGTAGACGAATGTTCAAAAAGGCGCACAGTGCTTGAACGGTGACGCTATGTTGTGCATGGTCCAGGAAGTATCGCTGGCAGTTCTGATAGTGTGGGTACCACTCGAAGATATCAAAGGTGCCATGCGCTGCTCCCTGGGACGACCCAGAGAGGTCAATTATTGTGGCAGGATCGAATTGCTGAGCGGAGTCCATTTTGGGCCCAGACAAGGGAGTTGACTGATCGGAAGGATTTCTGTGTAGAGAGTACCCGACTTAGCTCTAGGTCCCCATCTAGCCATTGGCCTGCTGGTCTTCGAAGAGATGAAGGGAAATGCAAGAAGCTGCCCCCGGTGACGATCTTTGCGCTTTGGAGCGTTCCCAGGAAACGCTCAGCTAGATGTAGAGCGGAGAGGGACAAGAACAAACGGGGGAGGGAATTACTTGTTGACAAAGACACTCCTACCTCGGCGGATCAGGAGAGACACCCTTCGTTGAGGAGACGGAGATGGGGAAGATGTAGAGCGGAATAGGTTTCTAATGGCAAAACCTAGGCTTCTACCTTGACCGGGATCGTTGTCAGACATCTGCTAAGTGTGCTCCATCTAGAGACAAGGCGATCTCTAGCTTATGCCATTAATGTAGTCGAAGCGAGATTATTGAAAATCGAGTGTGTAGCGGGGAAACTGAGCCGACAATGCTTCGGGGGGGGACTGACCCATCGAGGACAAGAAACAAAAAGGACAAGAAGTATATGTCGAGTAACAAGTCGTTGCAACCAGGAGACCAGGGAGAAAAGAGGGAGAGAAGAGGAAATTGATGACAAAGAAGGCTGCGTGGGAAAAAAGAAGCGGAGCTGGGACTCGCTCTTGTATAACTAACCAGTTGAGTGCGAACAGAGCTGGAACGGGTCTACCCGATCAAGGAATTAGGACTGCTTATTTGAAGGCCTAATATAGAACAATATGTCCCTAAAATATTATTCGACCACCGAGAATAGCTATCGTTCCAACGATTCAATCCCACAAGTACCTCTCTACCTTTGGGTAATTAGAATTTTTATCGAGAAATGACAGGCCACAGCTAACAAGGAAGCCAAGGGAGAAAGACAACGGACGGCAGTTACAGCAGTTGATTGCACTGAGACATAGTAATTCGATTCAGGTTGAAGCCAACGGAACGAGACACTGGTCCATTGGACGTGGAGCCTCAGATCGATGCGAATCGAATCGATGGATGCAAATGGGCGCGCCGACTAGTGGCGAAAGGAGCCATGTTCATCGCGTGTCCTTTCACTCCTCCTGGTGGATCCTAACTCATTGGCCCGAAGCAGAAATGAAACATCTCTCTTCAGCATCTGGAAGCGATGATAAGGGAGGCATTTCTATGGCTCAGACCAGGCCTCAAGGATCAATTGGATCAATGGATCAAACTATATTTGTAGGTTAGAATTACCTTGTCTAGGTTGACTTTTCCGACTTGCTTTTTCACGTTCTGGTTGGTTTGTGGCTGCTCTTTTGCAAGTTTTGGGAACTGGTACTCTGGTAATACCAAACTTACCCACAGGCACGGTCCCTGTACCTGAGCCCACCTCCAACCTAAGGTACCTTCTTCCCATTGGAGGGACACGGAGGGAAAGTTGATACTTCAGGTACCTAGGTACCAGGCACTCGACGGGCCCTGTTTCTAAAGCAGCCTCCAAGATCTGAGATCGTCCAATCTAATCGATGCTACTTTAACTCTTCAACAACCTTGATGAGTATCGACGTCACTCTGTGCATGATGGTCCCAGATTCATTCTATTGGATCACTTAGGCGCCCTACCAGCCATTGGGCATGCGGAGGAGCCACCGTCATTTGCCAATGGCCAGATATGCCTCTTGTACCTTAATCACTTCTTGAGGCGCAATCAGCGGTGAGCATCTCAATACACATCCCGCTATTCAACCGGACTCAAGAACTTCTACCTCTAGCAATATATCAGGCCTGAACCGAATGACACATCGGTTCTCAGCTCTCTATCGAAACACGGAATTTGCCACGCTGTGCATGACGTACCAATCTTCCACATCACCATAATGCCTGGCCTGAAGGGTGAACCTGCAATAGGCCTTGCTCTGAGCCAATGATAACAGCTTATTGCTGTTCATCACCGTTACAGCCAGTCAATCAAGTTTACTCGTATTCGCTATCGTACTTCTGACGACAACACGTCTCCCCCAATTAGTAGAACAATACATTCATACCCAACAATATGAAGGTGATCACGAAAGGCTACGATGAGCGGTGAGAGTGATACATCCACCGCGATGTCTACGATGCAAGTAATACGCGCCAAGCCGGAGATATCTTTCCAATAGAGATTTGTTCCCTGTGGTGGTGATGCAAAGCAGCTTCTAGTGGTTCTAGCTCTGGTCCCGTTTTCACGGGTCGGACGCGGCCATACCTCTGGGGATATCGGTGAGAATGTTTACTCGGGTGTGAAAGCTATCCTTCATACCATAACAGGCACTCTCTGCGAATAGTTTTAGAGCCAGGCTGCCTTATAAATGATTGGTCATTGTGGAGGAAAGAGAGATATGCAGGTTTACCGTTATTGTACAACGCAATCATTATTATTATTCTACTAGTAATCCCATATCTGATATATGTATTTCAGACCGATCAGACCGATCACATCGAGCAGATTTCCTTCAGTATGCACGAGCTCCAATAGTGGGCCATTAGGCTGCGCGATTCCAGGAATCTACCTGCATGAAGTGATCACCTACATTCGACTAAATAGTGACAGGTCTGGGACTCTACTCTGGATATGGTGAGGGTAAGACGGGGATATACTCCATAGTTTGTTTGTTTGGATGATTCACTGGTCAATCTATCCAAAGACTGTCCTGACATAGATTCGATCGATAATAACACTTCATGTGGTCCACAGTTGTAATATAACTCAGGCGGTTGAGTTGCAAATTACAGATACCTACGATACAGTATCCAGATTATTACCGGATCGACCCTCAAATTGTCCACCGAACCGGTAACCACGGTCTTCTCTTTCACTACCTAGAGAAGTTTGATACCTGATCGCGACCATGGCTTAGAAAAATCCGGCCATTGCATACGCTCTCAGCTCTGCTGGATGTCAGGCATCTAAATCAAAGTCGGAGAACACCGATAGGACGTCTCAGGACCTGCGATACGGCAACACAGCCACAGGATCGTGGCTGCCTCATCAACTGTAACCTATCAAAAGCCATACCCCAGAGGGTCCAGACTACAAACGTAGACGATGTACACAATACTCCTTGGTCTACGCAGTCTGGAGTAGAGGAGACATATCCCGTGGAGGTATTGTTTAGCGACTCCCTGAGAATTCCGGGGACATCCCTGCAGGAATGCTGCATCGGGCTGCGATTGAGCAGCATAGGTAAGCAGTGAGCTTGTCCATTGCAAGATCCGCTATTCGGTTGGCCTATCAGGAGAGTCATCTCCCTTGTCCTGTATGCGGACGGGTTGGCATCCAGGGGTTGGGTCGAATGAATTCGCCACCCCGTACCTGGTCGATAGACAATTGAGCGATGGGATTGGCGTACATCCAGGTCTCAGCTTGGTTCACTCCTTACTCAGCGAGGAAATAGAAGTATCGACAGGATTACGCGCGACTCGACTGTGTACCGGGGGAGAGCTGTAGATACTGGCGGTCACTCAGTGTGTATATGAGGATATGACACGTCGAAATGGGTTGTTTGGGAAGGATACGTTCGGAGGATTGTCAATAGTTTGACATGTTCTTCCCATGCTGCTCGTTCTGGCCCGCATGGCACTGGGCTGTATTGCCATGTTATGCGCTCTCGGCGGCCCCGTCAGTATCTGTTTCGGCCGAAATGGGTGATGAAGGGGTGAGTGATCCGGGACTCCGCATATAGGGGCATGCCGCATGCATAGCAGTATAAGAATTGGTATAACGATCATTGCTTTGAACTCATATCTGACATGTCATGTCTAGTGAGGCGCCCCTAATTGCTGGCGTTGAATCTGCTGGTTCTACCGTACTGTCAAGAAAGAGAAGACCAGACGGTCGAAGAGATCGGGTACGTCCAATTGCACTCTATTTCCGAGCTCCTTACTTCACTGGTAGTCCTGACCCTGTTACCTGGTAAGGCGATGCATTAACAAGAGCTTGGCATGCGATCCTCCTCCAGTACGGCGTAACATAGGGAGTTAGTCAGGTGGAGATGGTATGTTAGTATGGGCTTAGTATTGTGGTATTAGCTAGAGATTATTCAACCTCGAGAACATCATAGACAGAAGAACTTGATCAAATCTGAGCTGAATGCTATAATAGGGATAAGCAAGGAATGAAGTCATCAGGAGGCATTGGCAGATGGGGATTGTTGATCAACCGGGAAGTGGAAGAATGCCAATATTATATGGGGGAAGAGGGGAACTACGAGTCCAGTGATATATTTCCCATAGTAGTAAGCAAAATCCGGAGAACGAGACTTACTCCGAAGGAACAGCCTAAGGCATCCAACGTTACTCCATAGGAGCTTAGGAAATCATCCATCTTGGCGCCCATAGTCCGATCTATCCGAGAGCGGAGTTGACACCGAGTCCCCGAAGACTGCTAGGTTGCATTTCATTTACCCGCGCCAGGCGACATTGCAGTGTCTGGCAGTCTGATTCTGAGACTCATATAGTCACCGATGACGTCTCATATAGCAATGCAAAGTTCCCCGCGTGAAAAGGTGGTATGCGAGGATAGTACTCTGGACAAGGCCGTCTCGGCCGTACGATCAGTGCGGCCCAACCCCACGGGATGCGGATGGCCCACGCTTCACCGGTAGACCGGGGAATCCCGATTGCAGCGTTTCGTCTATTATTTCCCCCCAATTATCGAGTCCTTGCTTATTCCACAGAATAACTACACATACTTTCAGCTGCAATGCAATTCAATGTTGATTACTCAGTAGTACAAAGAGGTTGGGATACTCCTCCTCATTGTGTGACGGCTTTCCTCCTGGTGCTATCACCCACATTCGGATTGATTCTTCCGACAGCACTTTATTATGGAGTAAGGTAGCGAGCATCAGACGAGGCGTAGTGTGTTACCTAGAGGCCAAAGGTGGCAGACGAGCTGTGGACTAAAGCGGTTAGTGGCAGCTGATAATCAGGTAAACGATCAGATAAGATTTCTGATGGAGTCTGTGGAACTGCCAGGGACGCAATATGATTGGGTTATCCAACACGTGATGTGCTGGTGGCCACCTAAGCTTGGCATGACTGGAGGGTCACTAAATCTCCTTAGCAATTCTCACAGTTGGAGAGATAAGAAATGGGGTTAGAATGACTCGATCCTGTCAGCAATAATAATCTTTCCAAATTAAATCCCATAACTACCTTACCATGGAGATATGGAAGGAGAGAAATCTCTGACCGGTGGCCACACCCACGATGATTTCCCGGAACCCGAAAGCGGACAGGCTTGGGCGGGTTTCCGCCGATAGATAAGCAGCCTGAAATCTGTGACCTTAAAGTATCGAATAACAGTTTAACTCCACCCGAACTTCGGAAGTTTCCCCTGTCCAAT